ACGTCTCAGATATTTGGAGGACTAAAGCTTAGGAAATACTGAGAGCCCATTCAGACAAGGCCCATAACATGGAAGCTCTCTGCTTTGTCCCAAATAAATTTGATACTCCATTAGATCTGAGTCTTCCTGAAAGACCAGGTGTAATGCAGTATGGGCCCTGTGGGTACCACTATCTTGGGTTTTCCAGGCTAAAAACTCAAAGGACTGTAACCCCCTATAACAAAAGACGCAAGGCTGGAGGCTTATTAATATTATGCCCAGGCAGGATGGATCTTCCCAGAGGTTTTCCTTTCCTAAAAAATAAATAAAAAGATCCCGCCCCTGTGCCTCCAATATGATAGCGAGACAATGATGGATATGTGTTATGATGAAGTGAACACTGCTCGTCTTTAAACTTTTCCTTTGAATTAAAGCTGCCACCAACCTAAGGTGTTTTAGGATTTTTTTAAAAAAAACTATTTGAGGTGAACTTTACTCATTCCTGCCAACATTGTTTTTATCCCTGGCACCCAATCACTTGTTGAGAGGCTTTTCTGTAGTAACAGGGTGTTAAAAATGCTGGAACTATCCCAAAGGCTTGATGATGGAATGATGTACTGTAGAGACTTTGTTGAAAGTCAAATAGAATAAGTTTTATTTTTAAAACAGACAACTAACTACTCCTGAGAGGTACAAAAACCGTGACTTATTACAAAAGTACTTCAGCTTGATTGGTTGCTTGAACAGTCCTCTTCACTTTGTTCCGGACAGAGCTAACCAAACAGAACTAACTTTTGGTAACAAAACACTCGCTCTCTTTCGGAAAATAGTGATGAGCCTGTCTAGCCTATCTAGGTAGCCTCTGAGTTATTAACGAACTCTACCCTACAGTTCTTCCTGTTAACTAACCCAGCCTGGAGAACTAATATCTTGTGCTAACTCTCACAAGAGATCAGACTGCAGTCTGACCTTTTTCCTGTCAGCTAACAGCACTGTCTAACACAGACACTCTCTCTCCTAGCTCTTTCCCTCAAACCCAGTTTCCAACTCCACCTTCACACACCAGCTCCCAGCTCCAACTCTCACTCAAGCTACCTTCTTTCCTTCCTCCGACTTGGCTCCTCCCAACTGCTCTGGCCAATGCTAGGAGTCTCTAAACTCCTCCCCTCTTCCAACCATCCTCACTCAAGATGGCTGCCTCCCTGGCATTCCCTCCTAAAATGGAGGCCTGCCTTATCCAGGCTCCCTTTCCAGCCTACCAGGTAAGATTCACCACACCCCCTCACCAAAAACCCTTTAGAAACCTTACAAATCAATCACACAGCCACCATTAATATGCTGCTGGAGTCCTCCTGGTACATAGAAATGACATGCCAGGAGAAAGGGATGAGGAAAAAAATCACTCCTTGCCACTGTTGGGTTTCATCCCTGACTGCACAAGTCTCCAGCTCTCAGTGAGTAGTTAGCTTAGATAGACTGAGGGATTGGTGGGGATGAGGGACAGGACCTTCTCTGTGATGCCCCCCTGACTCTGGAACTCACTCCCCAAGGACATCAGACAAGCCCCAACATTGGCAGTCTTTAGGAAGAGCTTGAAGACGTGGTTGTTCCAGTGTGCCTTCCCAGAATAGGAAACTCCAAGCATCATGTCCCAAATGCACTTTACTAGAGATTTAAGATTATTTGCATACCGCATCTATCTCCAAAAACCTATCCATTTCACTTGGTCATGTCCAGCATTTTTTTAAAAAATTAATCATTACATTTGGCCCTGCCTTTGATTTTAACTGAGTCGTGGTGTTATTGCTTAATATTTATTGTTATTGTTTAATGTTTATTGCTTTGTTTTATGAGTTTATTTATTGTTGTATTTGTTATGCTACTGTTTTACTATTGTATCTGGCCTCGGCCTCTTGTAAGCCGCACCGAGTCCTTCGGGAGATGTTAGCGGGGTATAAATAAAGGATTATTATTATTATTATTATTATTATTATTATTATTATTATTTTACAGGTATTTTTATTGCCCTGGGCTGGCCATGCGGCCTGTCTCCATTTTTTGGTCTCTTCTCCTTTTGTCTTCTCTAGAATGAGGAAGCATCTTGCCATTGTCTAAGGCAAGACGTAGTAGATATAGTTACTTTTATTATTTTTCCCTTTTTCCTTTTCCTTAGAAGATAGCTCAGTGAAGCTGGTTAGCTCCAAGAACCTTTCCTTTCTAGAATGGATTTTTTTATCATAGAATCAAAGAGTTGTAAGAGACCTCATGGGCCATCCAGTACAGCCCCCTGCCAAGAAGCAGGAATATTGCATTCAAATCACCCCTAACAGATGGCCATCCAGCCTCTGTTTAAAGCTTCCAAAGAAGGAGCCTCCACCACACTCCGGGGCAGAGAGTTCCACTGCTGAACGGCTCTCACAGTCAGGAAGTTCTTCCTCATGTTCAGATGGAATCTCCTTTCTTGTAGTTTGAAGCCATTGTTCCATGTCCTAATCTCCATGGAAGCAGTAAACAAGCTTGCTCCCACCTCCCTGTGGCTTCCTCTCACATATTTATACATGGCTATCATATCTCCTCTCATCCTTCTCTTCTTCAGGCTAAACATGCCCAGCTCCTTAAGCCGCTCCTCATAGGGCTTGTTCTCCAGACCCTTTATCATTTTAGTCACCCTCCTCTGGACACATTCCAGCTTGTCAATATCTCTCTTGAATTGTGGTGCCCAGAATTGGACACAATATTCCAGGTGTGGTCTAACCAAAGCAGAATAGAGGGGTAGCATTACTTCCCTGGATCTAGACACTATGCTCCTATTGATGCAGGCCAAAATCCCATTTTTTTGCCACATCACATTGTTGGCTCATGTTTAACTTGTTGTCCACGAGGACTCCAAGATCTTTTTCATACGTACTGCTCTCAAGCCAGGCATTGTCCCCCATTCTGTATCTTTGCATTTCGTTTTCTGCCTAAGTGGAGTATCTTGCATTTGTCCTGTTGAACTTCATTTTGTTAGTTTTGGCCCATCTCTCTAATCTGTCAAGATCGTTTTGAATTCTGCTCCTGTCCTCTGGAGTATTGGCTATCCCTCCCAATTTGGTGTCGTCTGCAAACTTGATGATCCTGCCTTCTAGCCCTTCATCTAAGTCATTAATAAAGATGTTGAACAGGACCGGATTCCCATGACAGAACCCTGCGGCACTCCACTCATCACTTCTTTCCAGGATGAAGAGGAAGCATTGGGGAGAATCACCCTCTGGGTTCGTCCATTTAACCAATTACTGATCCACCTCACCGTAGTTTTGCCTAGCCCACATTGGACTAGTTTGTTTGCCAGAACAAACATATTATTTTTGATCCTATGAGTTGTGGATCTGCAATCCTGTTCCATCCTGTTGAATGGAAGTCAATCCTTGCTCACTACACGTAACTTTCTGCTGCTTATTAACTGTGTATCCTATACTCTGCTATATTTTTGGTGGAATTACCCCCAGAAAGGGTTATTTTTTGAGCCTAACAGCTCTTGATTCCCTACAGCTCTTGATTTCTACGTACCAGGAAGACTCTGGAAGCAGGGAATCCTGACACACACACCCAGAAAGTGTGGATTTTGAGGGGAGGTGTGGGGACTTTAACCCATTCTCAACCTGGCTTCTTAAGCCTGGTTGGGTGCAGATAAAAGCCCTGTGTGGAACTGGCCTGAATTAGAGCAGATTACCTCTTCAAATAAATGAGATATCTTATCACTCTTACCAATGGGGGATGGGGAGAGAGAAACCCCTTACCAACATCCAGCAATTAGTTGTGCATATTAATGGGAAAAAACAGTGACTACATTCCCACCTAACCAGAGGATAGCCTTCACATCAAAAACATACTGTTGTTATTAATAAGGAATGCCAATATGTCTTTGTTTTAATTTTAAATCAAATTCATTCAGATCTGAATTTGTTTTCAAATTAACCCCTCCACACACACACACACACACACACACTAACTAACAGCATGCTAAGGGTAAGTTGCAGAAATGGCTGCCTTTGTTTCTGTCCAGGCATTTCTAAAGTTTTCTCTCAAAGCACCATGGGGATGGAATGCCAGCCAAAGGTATGGAAGAGCCATTTGAATGGGTTTGTTTTTCACAGAGAGCCAAAAAATTTAAACAGACACACTGAAAAAGAAATGCGATCTTGCTGACCATTAAATTAAAAGCAAGAAAAGGTGATTGTTTTCAACATGTTGGATCTGAGGTCAAAAGTCACTAACATGGCTCTTTTCTATCATGAATCTTGCCTTATTCATTTCTCAGCAAACTCCAGATAATCTTCTTTGAAAAATGGTGTTCCACTTTATGCCTTCTTTATAAGCAGTCATCATGTTTGGCTTGTGGTAGCTTGATGTGTGAATCTCTAGATATATTCATATTGGTTGTCATTGTGTAGACTTTCTCGGCAGCATTTTTGATGACACCCAAATCTGCATTCAGACAAAAACCCCAACATATCCATAGTAATTCCCAATGTTTCACACTGTAATTTAGTTTTTACTAACCAATCATCCTTCCAGTATAAAACAAAGTTGGAGGTGGGAAAGAAGGCACACTCCAAATTAGAAAATTATATGTCATCTTTTTCCAATATGGAGAGGAAAAATCTCAATTGTTTCAGAAATTAATAGCACATTCATCTCAACACAGGTTCTCTATTGTTCACTGACTTTCATTAAATAGGAAATCTATCTGGATGATTTTTTAAAAAATGGTATTTTCTTCATCCCTTTTTAATCCTCCCATCATTCCGATCATCATTCCGCACAGCCCTTGCCTTGACTGCTGCAGTTGTATCTGTGGCTGTGTCCTAATGAAAAAAGATGTTTAAAATATTACCATAACCTCAGAGGCATGAGGAAAAGGCCCTTATTAGAATTCGGGACCTACAGCTGGAACCTTCAGCTCAGGGTGGGAGATAAAGTTTACTATTGTTAACTCACAAGTAGCTCAGACTTCCTGGCAACTGAAATGAATTACTCACCTCCTTTATGCTGGGCTTCAGAAACAGTTCACTGTTTTGCAACAAAAAAGGCATTCAGGCAGGGAAAGATGGCCTCCCTAGGCTCTGAAAAGCTAGCTTTAAGACAGTGAATGGACACTGGAGCCTCCCAAGTGAATGACCACTGTGGGAAAGGGGAATTATGTCAGCCCAAATGCATTTCCAGCTATTTTGTGCCACTTTTTCAGGCTTCTCTCTCTCTTTCGCTTTCCTGCTCTCTCTCTCTCCCCCCTTCTCTGTGCTCCCTTCCTGTTCTTTAAAGGCCTTTAAAAAAGTTTAGATGGACTCGGATCAACACCAATGCCTCATTTTCACATTATTGCCATGGCAACACACTCTGACACACGCTTGTTTTTGCTTGTGTCTTTTAATGAGAAAAGAAAAAGAAAGCCTGAAAGAAAGGGAGAATGAGATTTTGGCACTATTTGCTGGAACCGGAGCTGAGCGGAACGAAGAGCATGAGGAGCAGAGCTGGCAGCAGGAATTTAGGAGGAAAGGGGCAGCTTTTGAAACACAAATGTGTAATCCTTTACACTTCTAAAAAGCTCAGCACTTCTGAAGACCCACTGAGGACCTGGAATCATGCCTTTTCAGCCACATTGGATCAGCGCCTTGGGAAACAATCAATTGTTACAAAAGCTTTTGGAACCGTACTTGAACATTTCAACCAATGAGAAAGACAATTGCTAAACTTATTAGTAATGAAGGCTCCAACAAGTTGGGAGAACTGTCACCTTATTCCCCTAACAGGGTTGCAAACACTTTCCCAGGTTTTTTACCATGTTATCCACACATTTGTAGTGTATGTGTTAAGAGAACTCTGTACAACACTGGCTGGATACTATCAATGGTGAAGTGAATGCACACATTCCATCTTCTTACCTCATGCAAGTGATACAATGAGACTTTCCACCATGATCTCAAGGCTTCTCATCCACCCAGAGTATTCTCATGTTTTCTTCCTGGCTTTTTAAAGAAATTCTCACTGTATTGTTGAAGGCTTTCATGGCTGGAATCACTGGGTTGTTGTAGGTTTTTTTGGGCTGTATGGCCATGTTCTAGAGGCATTCTCTCCTGATGTTTCACCTGTATCTATGGCAAGCATCCTCAGAGGATGTGAGGTCCTCACAACCTCTGAGGATGCTTACCATAGATGCAGACAAAACACCATGAGAGAATGCCTCTAGAACATGGCCATACAGCCCAAAAAACCTACAACAACCCAGAAATTTTCACTGTTTGTGCCAGCAGAAAGTCATAGCTCCAGCTGAACCAGACCTGAAGTAAAATCAATCAGGGCAAACCTGTGCAAACCTGAAAGTTTAGTGTTGAAGCTGAATGGACATTCCTTGACCTGAACAACAGTCTAGCACAGAGGTACTGTATTAGGCTTTCCCCACAGAGGGTGATGATATAAGTCTGAAAAAATGCTTTGAGGGGGAAAATACAAAGAGAAAAAAAACCTTCTATTATTGTGTTTATGTTAGTATTGCATATGCACCAACACTTCACAGATGAAAATGATGACATGTATAGTTGAGCAACATTGGAGCATAGTTAAGATGCCAAATGAGGAAGAACAGAGAAGTTAGAAGGCTGCAGCAGTTTGCTTTTTCCTGGCCCATCCTCTCCTCTCTCTACTACTGAATTAATTCAGTATAAACTACTTTTGCCCTTTGGAATTAGTGTGCAGGAATTGAAATAGAGTGAGAGGAGAGCAAGTGGGGCATTTTATAAGCATATGAAAATAGTAGCATAACTGGTACTAATAAGGACTGCTGTCCAATCAGGACAGTTGGAAGGTAAAAAGTCTAGACAAGCATCAAAAATCTGTATTCTATAAGCTTGATTGATCTTGATCGGAAGTTTCTAAAATCGGAATGAATTCGTATTAAAATGACTTTTGAAACAATTTTGAGTCATGCTGGAATAGTGTGAGGAGTAATTACGAATTGAAACAATTTATCCATTTTTCGGAATTATTTTCGGATGTCTGGTCAAGGTTTACAATCTTGCAGTTTTCCTGGCCTCCCTGGCGACAAGCGGCGATGTGGAAGGGCAAGATGAGAGGTGGGATTTTAAAACTAATATTGCAGTTTCCCTTCCCTGGGCAACTGCGAACGGCAATGGATGGCAGGGGAATGAGGTGGGCATGGGTAAGCCCAGCTCTTCCTGAAGGCCACGCCCCCAGTGGTCGTCAAGAAGAACTGCGTGTTGCCACGCCTACCTCATTCCCCTGCCATCTATCGCCATTCGCAGTCACCCAGGGAAGGGAAACTGCAAGATTTTAAAACTAATCTCGCAGTTTCCCTTCCCTGGGCGACTGCGAACGGCGATGGATGGCAGGGGAATGAGGTGGGYGTGGGTAAGAACAGCTCTTCCTGAAGGCCACGCCCCCAGTGGMCTTCAGGAACAGTTGTTCTTACCCATGTCCCACCTTGTCCCTATTTGCATCGCCGGCCGTGCAAAGCCGCCGATACAAAGAGGAAGGAGGTGGGCGTGGGAAAGAACAGCTGTTCCTGAAGGCCACTGGGGGCATGGCCTTCAGGAACAGCTGTTCTTAGCCATGCCCACCTCCTCTCTCTGCCATCCATTGCCGTTCGCAGTCGCCCAGGGAAGGGAAACTGCGAGATTTTAAACTAACMGGGGGGAGGGGCACCTTCCATTAATGAAGTAAACGAAGCTATTCAGATTTTTGCTMTTTCCRATCTTTTTTTTCAAGAAAAGATCAGAAATAATTTTAAAATTGAAACACCAGCGCCCCCTATATACAAAACGAGTTTAGAACCTTTTTTTTCTTGATCAACCAAGCCTAGTCCATCATGGTCATATCTTCATCTTCTGGCCTCCAAAGAACATTATCCCATACCCCAAAAGTGATCTAACACTTATAAACTAAACTTGAAAAATTTTGGGGGGCTCCAACTGGTGAATCAAGGCCATTTGTGGCCTCTATATTTCCAGGCAGCCAGGGCACCTAAACAGGATCTAAACCATCCAGAGCCAACAATAGCAAAGCTTCCTTCAATCAGCAGATGGAATATAATATATTTCAAAAGCAGACCCAGAAAAAAGGTCATGGTCATGACAAGAGTCCTACCAGTAGTCAGGTTGACATAGGCTTAGTTGCATATAAAGTAAGCTGCAGCTAATTGCTTGTAGCAGCTACTCTTCTGAAGATGTCTTCTAAATAGTGTGTTACTTTTAAAAATCTGTTTTTTAAAGAGGTACATTAATCTGACATCTTTCTGAAATAGTCTGATATACCATTGGTTTTTAACTTCACATCTGAAAAGAATTGCTTGCCAGGACAGTTTTCAACCCTAGACATTTTCAGATTTAACAGATCATCATAGAATAATAAGAGTTGGGCGAGAACACATGGGCCATCTAGTTCAACCTCATGTCATCAGAATGACATGGCTGTTAAAAAAATGTCAATTTGAACTTAGTCACAAAAACCTACAAGACACTGAAAGTTCAAATAATTTCTCACATCATGAGAAAAGAAGCTGTTAATTTATTCATAACCTTTGTATTTATGGGAAAGATCATGGAAAGATTTTCTCAAAGTTCCTCCCCAAGCACAATGCTCCTTCAGAGTTTTAAATTCTGGGAAGACAGTGGAGACATTTGTGAGAGGCTTGCATAGTATGACGGAAAACTGTAATTTTAGAGACAAAATCTCCAAACCCAAATGAGAAAAAACAAAGCCCAAACTCTATGATCCTGCCAGCCCAGTAAAGAGCAGCATGCAAGCAGGCATATTTCAAAAGTCAAACACACACACACCAAGCCAGGGACTAGCAAAATACTCAAAAGAAGTAATGGGCTACAAGAAACAGAGCATGGCCTGAAGCATAAGGAAATAAAATATTATTTTCAGTACTAAGATCCAGTCAAACTGAAGGTCTCATAACTACATTGTAGGACATTTAGCCTTCCACTTTCTTAAAAGCAATGGTCTGTTTTAAAGGGGATGCCTTGTTCCTAGGAAATCCTGTCCAGAGATGGGTATAAAACATAAATTCATTAATTTCCTAACTGGGGTCAAATTTAGAGTTCATGAGCCCTTAAGCAGGAAAAAAATAGCACATCAAAAGTTCATTCAGATTGTGGAAGCTTTTCTTTTGTTACCTGGATAGCACAAACTATGCAGTTTTTGAGTTTGAAAAACTACAGTTTAACTATCAAAACCAACACTCACAGCCTTTTTAATTTTGCTACACACAAAGGGAAAAAATAAAATCTCATCCATCAACATTGTTTATCATTATATCCTTAAGGGAAATAGTGAAAATGCAAAACAAAATTGCACAGCACATCCTTAAACAAAAATGTAATGAAACATTCCATGTCATGACTGAAGCAAGAAAAGAAAGTTGGCCCGAATGCAGCAGTAGCCCTACATAGTTTTATTGTGCAACATTTTGATGTGTGACATTCCTGTTTTTTTCCAAAGAAATCAGCAGTCTTGCACAATATATAGTCATGTGTTTTTGTTATGCAATTTTGCTGATTTTACCCAACATTATTGTCAATCAACATTTTTGTTGTGTAACATTGCTGTTTGTTACTTTAAAAAAGCAATCTTGCACAAAACATACCTATAGTTCTTTCCCTATAGAAACGGTACAGTTCCAGAGCAGGCTGTGCAGTTCTCGGGAGGAGCTGTGTAGCTTCCAGAAGTTTTTTTTAGGAAATACACTGCATGTATAGAACAACGACTCAGTTTTCCATCATTGCACGTGGAAGAAGGGGATGGGTGTCTTGAAGCTACAGTTTGAAAAACTGCTTTATTACTCTCAATGGAAATTTGCCATCCATATCCATGGGTAGAGTTTTTTTATTCCTCTACTGCTTGTTAATTTTCAGGAGCAACCAGTTCTTTACCATCTTCAGATTCACAAGTCATATGGAACTCATCACATTGAGGCAGAAGAGCCGGGGAACAGTGAGGGAAATCATGGGGTAGCGTCATGGTGCATTCCCTCTCCATCAGAGATTGTGGTATCCCTTCCCATTACATTTATCCACTGTCCCCAGCTTCTTCTTTGCCTCCTCCAGCTTTCTCTGAGCTGCATGCACACTGCTGGCCCTGCCAGAAGTAGTTCTGCATCATATGATGGGCTCCAGGGGACTCCGTGCGAGCAGCATGCCGACAGAGCAGAGAAATGGGGAGAAGCTTCTAGGCCTCAATGTGATATACTCAACTTTACAA